TCATGTACAATATTGAATATTGAACCATAAACTGGATTGAATTTGTTATCACAATGTTAGTTTTATGTCATGTTTAAGTTACAAAGCTAGAGTTCACAAGAAAGTTTAATAGAAAATTAATATTAGATATTTAAAATAAATAGTTAAACCTAATCGTCAAACGAAATTTACAAAATGTTTGCTAGATATAAATCGCGATATATTTCGTGAATAAAAGATACTAAGATATTAGATACTAAGAACCTAGAACTTGTTTTGAAAGCGACAACTTTATCACGACACGAAGTTGAAAGCGCATTGTGTGATTCACCACACATGGTGTATTGTTCTAGTCGCGTGGTTTTCAATTTTAGCAGCACTGTGATAGATAAAGTAGAAATATTCAAATCAATCGTGCTAGTTTCAACAGAGAGTCAGTGATAAACGTCGGTTATTAATCGCTATTTCCAAGAAAATTGCGTTTCGTATAGATCGATGATATTAAACCATTATTACGTAGAATTTTGATGCAAAAATGCCGTAATTTTAAACAATTTAAATTTTCTGATAATACAATACACTTTGTCAAATATTTGTTTCGATGAATTTTCTAATTAATTACTTTTTAATAACCTTCATTTAAATTATGTTAATCATCATAATTATGTAGGAAATAATCTTCATAAAACGAATTATTATATAGTTGTAACAAAGACATTATTCGCTGAGTAATGTTTACATAACCGGCAATTATGATTTAAATTTCTAAAAATATTCAATAGGAAATTATCTTAGGTTATTTAATAGGAACGAAAGAATGGTCAAAGCAATGCTATACACATACGTCTCATATCGAGTATTATTTCTAGCGACTCATAAAGCTCACAATGAAAGTATCAGACTTAATGAAGCAAATATTTAATATTAGAGAGCATACAATAATTGGAGCACTACTATTGTTCGTCTTATAGCAGTCTTCGTTGTGAGTGTTCATAGATAAATTTCATAAGCTTCGGGATAGTATTTAAAAATCTAGCTGTGCTCTTCGAAACGTATCGCTATTCGCACATTCTAATTGAATTTAAGCGATTGATCAGATTATACTAGCAATAGATATTGTCAGAAATTTTTAAATGAAAAATTTATGAATGGATAAAAATCGTGATAGTGTATTTACGGCGCTGATATAAACCAAAAATAATCATCGATCTTTATCGTCAAAATTTTTACCTTTTATTATCGTGTATATGTTCGTATTAATGGAATTATCAGAGTTAAATATACATTCTTCCAAAGGATTTATATAACCCTATTACGTATGTATATCGTTAGATACTTAAGCTTGATTACAACAATAAAGAAGGAAACATTTATGAAGTATTTCAAACTTTAAATAGATTCCACTAGCTGTTATCTTATAATTATTTAACACAAGTAAATGTAGTCGTAAATGTAGCCATAAATGTAGTTTCTTTCTAATGTAATCGTAACATTATTTTTAGAAGATTATAGAAAGAGTAATGCATACACGGTTGAATAATTCAAAAAAAGATGTTTATACAACGTATTTTTCTTGAATTTTTACAATCTTGAGATACCTTTTCGTTCTAAAATACTTTCCTTAGATTTTCATTTTACGATTACGACGGTTACGACGCGTTTAAGAACACGAGGAATAAAATGAAATCGCCAAAGACAAAACACGTAGATACGTGCTAACTTTGCTCCCTGCACATTTAATTCCTATCATCGGCTTGGTTGGCAACGTCAATTTGCAGAGCGCTCGTCGACGTGCAAACAGAGAGAGACCTACTCGCTTTTATCATATCTTGTTTCCATGCGACAATAAATTTGCACCTCGTGCTAAAATCACGCAGCTATCTCCGCTTTTCATCCTCAAAGAGAATATTAAACGCGTTCAGCTTGAGATTCTTATTGTAACGTCAATGCATGCTTTCAAATATTTTCTCATGTTCGGGAAAACGCAAGAGAGATGACGCATCAAGTTGTTCGATATTTTTCTAACCAACAACGTGTCTACATTAACGTATTTCTATTAAATTAAATTTCAACACATACAAATATATTTATATATTAACATTGAAAAGAATCGCACCCCAAATAAAAATGTCGAGTCCAATTTAACATACATTATTAATTAATATATTGCATACATAAAGCGTAAATAATGATTTAACTTAACGTAGCTGTATTTCTCGTAAATATATGTGCTTTACGTTCATGTATATTTAGTAGAGTGAAAACGAGTATAATATAAATTTTAATTTGCAGTACATTTCATTTAAAATGCGAGTAACGGACAATATGATTAGAAAGTAACGAGGAGAAATTACTATAGCAAGAATAAATTCTAATTTGTTGCTTTCTATCTCATTGAAGAACAATTCGCGTTCTTTCGACACTATTAGGTGCGTAATAAACCACCCCGATTACTAAGCAAATATGTCAATTTATTAGTAGTTCAAGGAATGATATTATTGGGTATGTTCAATAAAGATCTGGACAGTTATCATTCATCGTTCTATTACACGAAATTCGTACGACTGAGGAATTGAGGTATCCCAAGGAACTCAGTCATAAGGAACGTCGGACTCTGAATTATTCATGCGACAGGACAGCAGTCGACAGGTTTTCCAAGTGAAAATCCGAAGGTGTGAGTCATCGGTGCATTCCGAATTTCCCAGTCGTGTTTTAAAGGAATTCCAAAGCTGTGTCATATAAAGGTGGGAGTGCGGATATATGACAATGCGTTTATTTAGATACATAGAACAATTCCAGGACATCTTAGAAGAGAAAGTGCAATGACCTAAACTGAGAGATGATCTCACATGTTGCAGGGATGACCACCGCGAGAGCAAGTGTATATAGTTTCATTGGTGAACCACGTAACAATTCGCGGAAATGCAGCCGCTAAAGTTTGGTGATAATATATTACGGCAGTTATTACGTTGGTGAACTCTTGTTGTTTCTGTTGTACTCTGTCTGGTTAGGTAAAAGATTACATTTACCGTAGATTAATAGGAATTTCAAAGTAATACTCACAGTGGACAGCTAGCTTCTTTTAGCGATGCGTCATTGATGATACAATCGGAAAAGGAATAACTGAAAATATTTCTACTATATCTCGCAATTTTTTTTATTAAATAACATATTTTGAGTAAAATTGGGACGTTATTGGCATGCGAATTTATGGTAGTACACTCTTATGTCAGTTTTACGTAAAACGGCAACGTCAGATAAAGTCGAAAAGCAAGTTTCAGCAAGTCGTTTCTACTAGAAAGTTAAGATGCTCGTTTGGTACGTTTACGAGCTCGTTAGGTGGATTCATCTGTTGATAAGACTTGTCCAAATACAGTTGGCTCGAACGACCTCCAAGGTCGCATTCCTCGGTGTCTTAACGTTTCTGATATTCCTTTCAGACATGGTCTATAGCGTATTGTAAAAACCACATTATTTGTTATTGCATCCGTTTGGTTTGCCAAAAAAATTTATAAAGTCTAATTAATATCTTTTGAATTTATTACACAGGCATACGTTAAGGAATTTTATCGGAAGACGAGCGAAAAATATTTTATTTTGCGCTTGAATTAGAACATAATTTCTATGCTCCCATTTTCCATAATACATGCGTAAGATTATACGTGTTATGAGAAGACTCGTGATACGCAAAGGTACGCAAATATTTGCTTGCACGAGCACGATATCAACCCCTTCCAAACAAGCCGTAGAAACAATTCGCACGATTTGCACGCTAACGCGTGTCTCGGTTTTATCGCTGTGAGTGTCATATTATCATATGGAATATTTCTCAAATACCGTTTTGAGTTTAAAAGATGGCTCTGGAAAAACGGATAGTGTCACTTGTTGTAATTCTTCGATTACGAAACTGAACAGTATGTAAATTGTTATGTAAATTTTGTACGCGTAGAGTTGTTTCGTGCATTCGTCGAATGTTCGTAGAATGTAAATACTACAAGATGGTTTTCAATTGAACACTTTCCTTTTCGCGCGAATCACGACGGATTAATTTGGGACATCGGACAGATTGGTAAACAATCTATGACTATGAAGAGAACAGAGGACAATCGCTAAAACTTTCGCCCACGTCTTTTCGTCACAAGCCGCTTATTAAATACCTACGCTGGTTGTTTTATCGGTTTCTCGAAGAGCATTCGCATGCGTATTCCAGTCTTTCATCGACGTTCGTCGAAATCAAACGAACTTTGACTTTTCTCGTCGTGATGAAAAAACAATTTTTAGAAAAATCGCTCCAAAACATTTATAGATATATGATTCAAGAATGTGTATAATGCAACGCTTTTATTCATCTTCGTGCATAAGTAAGTCCGTAAAGATCTGTTATCTTCAACTCCGTATTAGCGATTTATCGTTGCGCGACTTTCATTTTCAATAATCGTGATCGTTTCATCCGTGATCGGCGGAGGATTAATCGAACGGTAATTTCTTTGATTCCGATCACGGATGAAAAGTCACGACAATCGACGGAACGAAGCAAGACGATCACGTATAGATTAATAGATCGCTCGCGTAGGTATATACCGTCACACCAGGTTACCACGTAACACCGAGTCATTGGATATTCATTGAGTATCACGAAGGCCGATAATGATAATCCGTTGGAAGAATGTTGTGGTTGTGGACACCACAGTTATGCAAGACAACTAACCACATGACAATTTGTTCTCCGTTGGTCACCCGTTACTGTCAGTATCGGTGATATGTTCTTGGCATAAGATGATCACGGAAGCGACGGAGCTCCGTAAAAGTATGTCTACTGTTAGATTCAATGCTAGAAAAATAACATAGCCTATGTTTTTATGCTCTAAACTCAGGATGGCTGGAGCTGACTCGTGCATTTATTATCTCCGTATTCGATAATTTTGATCTGGTGTCTTTCGCACGACGCAGCGTGAACTTTACGGTCTGCTTTATTAATTATTCGTTTTATATCCGCGTAAAAGATGACGCATGGCCCAACACACATACAGAGTAACATAGACCAAAGTTGTACATCAAAAATATACAATGTGCACGTAACTAACAGCGAAGCTCTAGTGCATCGTGCTCGCGGAAGTCGTGAGATCACGCACGCTGCGCAAGAATTTTATTTGAACTTCGAGAAGAGGAAGACATTAGTAGACAAAGTGGAAGACATTAAAATAGGAATGTGTATATGGCAATCTTTCAAAAAAGCTTGAAAGGGATGTACTTTTTCTGATAACAGTAAAAAATATGTGGTAACTATATTTTTGAAACTTTAATTAATAGATAATATATACATGATAAAATATACATGATTTGTTACTTCTAACGTTGAGAAATATGTATAAAGACGATAATTTCTACTTCTGGCGCACCTTTTATGTTAGGACCGATGCGATATATCTTCAATTTTAACTTATATCGTTAAATGAAATCAGTTATGTGTTGTGAAAAGCATCAAATAGGGGATATATAATGCATGGGATAAATATAGCTCGATTTTTCAACAGAAATATTACGAATCTTCTACTTCAAAATTATATGCGGAGATTTTAAGGCCTTGCTTATACAGAGTGCGGGCATACAAGTGACGACAAGGCGGAAGAAAACAAGTCAAGCTTATAAACTTATATGAAATAAGCCATACAGCGACTGGGCGGCGACGCTGAGAAGCAGAGCGATAACCGATTTCTGTCGCACTGCTTTCGTTATTATATATGTTATTTTAAAAGATATCCAAGCGGCAAATACATAGATGGTAACAATAAATACGGAGAATTATTTTGATATCGAGTCTTTAATAACTGTGATGCAATGTAGATCGATTTTATGGCAAGATAAACATAAAGATTATAGAATTATGTCTATGACAGAAAAAATATGGAAAGAAGAAAATAAGGGCGACATGATTTTGTCGCCCGTCTGTATGTTCATATGCAACTCAATGTTGCTGCCGCAGATGCCAATTTTATCGCTTTCCGTATAATCACGGCCTAATACAAGCGCCGCTCCACGGCAAGATTCTCCATTTCGACGTCGTAAAATTTGAAACTCCCACTTTCCTTCCTCTTGTTCAGACAACTTATTTCATCACGAAGTAAAAGCTACAGCGTAGTGTCACCGACACAGTTATGAGAGCAGACAGTAAAAGCTAGTTCAATCTGCCGAAAGATTGTTAACATAGCTAGCCGGCAGAGCAAAAAGTATTTTCGAGGAAGTTTTCTTGTTACGAAACATTCTCTAACCCCTGCTCGTATTGATTCTGTTTGCTAAAATCTTTTAGTCTTACACAGAAAATGACCGCCAAAAATAATGTACTTTCTCAAAATTATCCCTCTTATAGAAAATTAACAAACGATTCGAAGTAATTATTACAAAAAATTTCAACCAAGAAAAAGTATAAAAAAATTCTCGATACTTTCTTCATCTATTATACACACATGTATCTGCTTGTACCGCTCCCCTCGAATTCACTTCTCGAACGATCAAATAAACTACTCTTAAATTGACCGATATCATCGATCAAGTTGTTGCTAGCGACACGTTGTTTTCCATCATTAAATTTTCCAAGAAAATATAGTCACAAGTTGATGTAACGTGTCTAATTGGCACAGTTTTTGATACGACTGATACACACCAGTTACTGGGTCAACGTTCGTTTCTTATTAGCGACAATTAACACTCGTACATAAAAACATTTATCTGTGACGTCACTATCATTATACGCGGAACAATCGTACGTACAACAATTTCTTCGACGAGACTGCACCAAAGATCGTCGGGTCGGAATTCGAGAAAATTAGTAATATCCACATTTCGCAATTATTCATAATAACATTGGATAATCCATTTCGTAAGTAAATGTTACTTATGAAACGACCAATAATAGTCGAACATCATAGCTTGTTAGCCTATATAGCCATAATTTATACTTTATTCGCGTTCCTAATCTTGCATTCACATTTTCCTCCAATTTTTTGCAACTACTATATCCCGTAATTAGCAGCCGCGTTATCGATAATTAATATCCATGTAACAAGGACACGAAGGAACTGAATTTCCGCAACGCGTTCTTCGCAGAAATTGACAGCGGAAAGGAAAGTAAATTTTTCGTTAAAAGATATTGCTGACCCAACGTGAAAGTCTCTAGTAAGAGATATTCGAACTATAGTCGAATGATATTAAATGATATACCAACGTGGAATAATGATCATAGTATGTTTTATGAGCGATTGATCCCGTAGAATATTGTGGCGAATTTTATCGATCAAAAGTTGAAAATTATCTGATTGCTCTTTTATATTTCCCAAGCAAATTCAAAGATTTTTCTAGGAATTCCTCATACTTTAACAAAATTTCTTAAAATGGCAGGTTCCTCTATTTGATCAAAAATTACGATCTCGCTGCAAGACGAACGAAGACCTACGAATCAAGATGCAATACAGTTTCTGGAAGTTTACAGCTAGACTATTTAATTGTAATCCAAGGAGATGAAATGATGAAATACTAGGCAGAAAGATACGATCCGAATGACATTTCCTTCCGCGTGCGAGCAAAATGCGAGCTCATACGGGCTTTCGTATGCATAAATCAGCGTTAAAATGAAGTCAAGGCATTTAATTATTATCTGTAGAATAAACCGTTCTACCCCAAATATCGTTGAATTTGTTAAATCCAGCCTGATGACCGTTGCTACGACACCGTAGTTATTTGTACTTGGATTAAAGATCAAAATACTTTATCAGTTATATTGTTTCTTCCTACGCAAATCGATCAATACAGAATGCGCTTAAACGTTTTACCTAAAATACAGCAACATCCACTAAAACGAAACAACGGTCTATTAACGCTCTTATTTCACAAGGGAAGTCTACCTCCTACATCACATCGTGACAATCAGTCACAACCCTTTTCTTTCACCGCATTCCTCGCATGCAGCTCCAAATTTAACTCCTCTGAGACACGTTTTCGTTCGACTCACTACCAGTCTCGGTAACGTCAAACACGTGAAATCATCGATCCCGAAGAAGAAATCCGTTGGTGATTCGAGTCGCGCGATTTACGCGAAATTACAGCAAACCGCGTCGTTAAGGCTCATTAGGTGGTAAAAAGTAAAAAGCGTCGGGCAGCGTGCGAATGCGTGCGACGCGTCGCAAGCGGAATATCTACATAGCGCAAAAACTGCAGGAACGCGGCCGTCCTTAAACCAAGCACGTTCGTGTCGCGATCCATCCGGTATTTCTGGTAATTTCTCCAGAACAATATAAAGGGCAGGCAAAAAGGCCCGGCGGCCACTTGCACCGTGCGCGGTTCTGCCTCTCTGACAGATACGAGTTTATTTACAGAAACGATTTTACTGCGACGCACGACGACGAGACCGCGTCAGGTATAGGTCGCATGGCCGCCCGCGTCCGGTTCTCCGCATATAGAACATCCGCTCCGCGACGCAGCGCGCACACACGTGCTCCCACACAACAAGATGCGCTTTCATGCGCTCGTTGCTCACGCGCGCACGTTCTACCTACTTTCAATACGCTTGCCATATCGCAGCTACGACTTTTGCTCGGCGTGCTGCTAATACTGCTAGTATCGCCGCTCATGATTGAACTGCGGATGCTTAGACCCTTGATATATATCAACTTATACAAATAAGATATGAAATATGTTTACGAATGTATGTGTAATAAACGAATACGAATAAAGAGAGAGATAAGCTACAATTAACTTGTTAATTGAGAAGTTTATTTTCATAAATCTCTTATGGGTGCGCAGATAAAATCAAGCAATGAGAAGTATACACATTGAACGCAAGACAAATGCTCCTATTATAAATTTTACGAAAAAAGTAGAGCAAAACGTGGAAGGATTACATTTTTATTCGATAAAAACTTAACTCAATTCATTGTTGAAAAAACTTAATAATTTTCCAGAAATAATAACATTCGTAAACAAGAAAAAGTAAAGAAAAAAATTTAAGAAATTCAGTTGATTTTAGTGTGATATCTTCCAAAGCAAGGTACCACACATAGTGGCATTTCAGAGGTCGAGCACCAGTAGTATGACCCCTTACAGATTCAATTTTTTACATAGACGACGCATGTTCGAAGTGAATTTGCTTTTGATGGCATAGCTGGTATAAAACGCAAAACAATTCGAGGAACAGCCGATATGCGCATCAAAAAGAATAATCAAATAATCAAATTTTTTTTATAAAATACATAGTAGGTTTACTGGAATTATAAAGGGAGCATACCATTAAATATCATTTATATTACTTTGTATTAAAATTTTGAGTTTTTATAGTAAATTGTGATTTTTTATTTTATCACGGCTATATCACACATCAACCCCGCCGAAATGAAGTTTTGGTTTGATATGTATATTCGTCGAACGCAATTAACTGGTTAAGCCTGTTTAAACTATCTTCAAATTGCCATCCTGTTTTGTATTTCTTGAAAACCAAAATGACTTCAAACTATTGATTTAGATTCAGCAAAGGATGTGCTTACTCGTGGAAAGGTGTGTCGAGTGCAGAATTAAACGTGATTGTGATGTGGATTTTGAGGATGTAGATTCTAAATGTGCACGAAGTCTACGTGCATTTGGGAAACATTCACATCACTTGACTCTACAATCTCGGGACAAAGTACGATATCTTTTTAAAAGCAATTTGAAATGTGGATAAAGTAAATAATTTACACGTATATCAATCATTTTATTAATTATATTCACGCTTTACTCTTGCTTTTCAAATACTTACACCATGTTATACGTACATGTTTTATATATTCTATAAATCTAATGCACATGTTTTTGTCGTAAAATTTTCGCTTATTACCACGTACATATATTTAAACGCAGACTGCATCATGGCAATCAAGCATGTAGCGTATGGAAGATTCGTCATATGTAATCAATTCTGCTGAATATGGCAACCACCTAATAAGGAATTCATTGGACGTTGTCATTGACGAAGACGTTGCTATATCGAGATATTCCACCTTGATAGTACTCTCGATTACCTTTTCAGCAATTCGCGTAATAGAATATACAAAGACAGTCAAATGATGATTTTTATGAGAATTATTTTTAACATTCGTGACAGCGTTGGCTTTTTATACTCAATTTTCCTTATTTAAGAATAATTCTTTACATCGTATACCACAGGTGAAATTACCTACTCTATAATTTAAGTTCCATTTTCGCTCTATATGCCCTTTAATTCTAACATTATTTAAAATTAGTATAATTGTTGTTACAAGTCGTTCTTAATGAATTTCGTTTTGATATAGATCTGTTCTTCAGATTATTTTTTATCTTATTGTTAAGTATTCCCCTTTGTTTCATAATTCGATTAATGTACATAACACTTAACCAATCTTGTTGCTTTCATGTTAATTCTCCGTGGTTAATATTCATTTCGCCTGTAATTCATCTTCTATTGACAAAGAGGTTTTTTTGGTTAATGATGATATCAAGTTCATGTCCGAACTTCAACTTGAAAATATCAATCAATTCGGTAAGTAGGCATTGTTCGGTTAAGAACAACGGAAATAAATATATATTTCGTTTAACGTGTTTGCTGAGTACATAGTACTGTCAACCTGTTCTCGAGGTCCCGAAAAATTTCAGACGCAATTCAAAAATATATTTATATGTCGGAAAGGTCATCGGGGCCTCCCTTTTGGAATATTGAGGAAATTCAAATACCCTAATCCAGACTTTTACTATAGCTACACTTAAATAATAAAACTAAGAAATAGTTGTGCTTAAGGTTTCTGGCTTGGGCTCGAAGTGACACAACGGATCACTGAACGTAGCCACGGGAGAGACGTGTACGTAACAGAGGTATGGAATAATTATATAGCCCTCCTTAAAAACAAAGATTGGCCCGAGAGGTGGGGAGAGGACTATATAGGGGCAGTTAGACTTGGACATACATAGAGTCTATTCCGAGGAGTACTACTTGCACTTTGAGTGACATCAGGATCGTGTATCACATCACATTCGTCGTCCCATTGGCCGTGGATTCGTTATTGAACCTGAGGCCACTGTAATTCTTGTCTAATCACCGCGATTACTCGATAACGTTGTAATACTTACGATTGTGATAATAAACATTACCGCTATTGTATGACAACCATGGCTAATCCTAGCGAAAGTTCCTTAAATGTCCCTAACCCTATTCTTAACGTCAACCCGACATTAGAAGTGAGATCATTGCACCGGTTATAACAGAAGAATATACGAAACCCAGAAGAAAACCGACCAGCCGCATCGTCGAAGGTGTCTTGTTTCAAATGTCACGAGGAGGGTTATATCGCGCCTAATTGTCTGTTATTATGGAAAAGAAACTATGATTCCAATAACTAGCGTCGAGTTGACTTCTGAGTAGTGGAAGCGCCAACTGGTAGATCAAATCATCTGTGTGAGTTGTTTCCATTTTACTCCGATTCTGGAGCCGAGTGTTCACTAATTAAAGAATCCGTAACCTTGAGATTTTCTGGAAGAAGAACCACTGATATAGCAGTAATGTGCGGAACTTGTATTAAATGTACATCTCAAATTTTGTCCATTGCATTGATGGGTTTATATTGGAGATAATTTTTTATGTCCTTTAAAATATGATATCATGATTGGTTGTGAAATTTTAAATCAAGGTTTTGACGTAATATTACATAAAATATCCTCGCTATGTGTAAAACAAAAATAAGTAATGTCTATAATAAATTCGCTGAAAACGAGATCGATATTAAGGAAGTTGACACTGATGTACATGATAATGATAAAAGTCGATTAATTTCTCCTCTCGAAAAATTCAAAGACTCATTCGTTACGGGTTTTCTACTTACTCGCGTAAATATAGACCAGTTAGAAATACGATTAATCGATCCTAACATCGTCGTACGAGGAAGTCCTTATAGATTTAGCGAGGAAGAGCGAAGAATAGTACGTGAGAAAATAAGCGATTTAATTAAAGTAAAAATCATAAGGCCTTGTAATTCACCATTCGCGACCCCTATGTTACTCGTGAAGAAGAAAGACAGCCCAGATAGATTATGTGTAGATTTTCGAGAACTAAACGAAATGCGGCCCCGGATCAGTATCCTCTACCTCTTATTGCGGATCGAGTCGCGAGATTGCAAAAGCGAGATACTTTATTGGTCTGGACATGACCAGCGGCTGTCACCAAATCTCTGTTCATCCTAATTCTACGGAGTACGCAACGTTTGTTACCCCAACGGACAATACGAGTGTGTAACGATGTCGTTTGGATTGAAAAATGTCCGTTTTTCAGAGGGACATTCTCAAGGTCTTGGGCGACCTCGCTCATTCGTACGTTGTTGTCTATTTGAATGATGTTTTAATTATTGCCAACTCGATAGATCAAGCTCTAGAAAGATTGTACATCTCCTCTAAAATCTAAAAAGATCTAAATATCCTCGTAAATGCCGGATTTTCTTTTAATTTCTCTAAATGCTCTTTTCTAAAGACATCGGTGCTTTATCTTGGATACGTAATTCATAACGGAGAAGTTCGCCCCAACCCGGGTAAAATACAAGCCTTGAGTTTTTTACCTGAAACAACGACCGTCACACAGCATAGGCAGTTCATAGATTTAGTTTCTTACTTCCGAAAATTCGTCTCTAAATTTTCACAGGTTATGAAACCTCTATATACGCATACTTCCTGGAACAAAAACATAACTTGGACAGATAAACACAAAAAGATGGGGCAAAAGGTAATT